AGGCGGAGGCGGGGAAGCCCTCCCTCGAGCCCGCCCTCCTCCCCGCCTCCCCGCGGACTCCTCCTCCTCCTGCGCGTCCAACCCCTCGTCCTCCCGGCCTTCTCCCAGGATCCTCCCCCTCCTCTCCCTGTCTCCTCTTCTGCCCTGCCTCCTCCTCCCTTCGCCTCTCCTCCCCTGACCCCGCCTCCTCCCAGGATCCTCCCCCTCCTCTCCCTGCCTCCTCCTCTCCTCCCCTGACTCCTCCTCCCCTTACTCCCCCTCCCTCCTCCTCCCCCTCTCCTCCTTGGCTCCTCCTCCCCCTGCCTCCTCCCTGTCCTTCCTCCCTCCTCTCCTGACTCATCCTCTCCTCCTGATCCTCCTCCTCCCTTCCTCCTCCCCTGCCTTGTCGCTGTCCCTCCTCCTCCCATTCCTCCTCCCTCTTCCCCCGCCCTTCTCTCCTCCTCCTCCAGCCTCTTCTCTCTCCTTCCCCCTCCTCTTCCCTTGAACCCCCCCAACCCCCTTTTGTCCCAAACTGTGGCACAATAGCCCTCAGCTCCTCCATCTATTCTGTGTCCAGCAGGAGCCAGTGTGGTGATTCATTGCTCCAATTAGGGGCTCTCTCCAGCCCTGGCTCATGCTGTCTGGAGGGTCCCCTCGGGACCTGCGGAACCCATCAGCCGCTGCCGCTGGTCTTTAAGGAAAGGTCAAACAGGACACACAGAAGCCAGGTGAGGACGCAGGGTGCCTGGGGAGGCTTGGGAAGGGCACCGCCCCAGGAGCTGGGGGGTCCTGGCTCTCTGTCTTCTAAGGGGGGGCACCAAAGGGGAGTGGATTACAGCCCTGGTTGGGATGCCTCAGAGCCCAGCGCCCTAATTTTGGAGACAGGGAAGGGGTGTATGTGTCCTATCTCCTGCATCACCCTGGGAACTTCATGGTCTGTCCCTCCCCTCCCTTGACAGGCCAGGGGTCCCCTGGTCATCCTAGGAAGTAGAAAGCTGTACTGTGTGTTCTAGGACAAGTGACTCAACCTCTCTGAATGGTTTTTTCTTCTTGGTAAAGTGTTACAGTTGAGACCAACAGTTCCAAGACAAAGTATTGTGCATAGATACATTGTAGCTATTTAACATACAGACAGACCCCCAGCTGGTTTAGAGCCCTCCCATAACCCAGTCTGAAGTGTTCCACAGTGGACAGCACCATCCCTAAGTGTCAGATGACTCAAAAGAAGGGACCAAGTGGATTCAGACCCAGGTGGCTGGGCTTCTGTGGAGTGCAGCCTCCCCATCTAGGCACTGTGGAGACTGGTGTGGGCACCTATGCAGCATAGAGACACACACCACACAGACATACACACACACACACACACACACACACACACACACACCCATACCATACGCCATACCCACGCCACACTTACACCACACACTGCACAGGTGCACGCACGCGCACACACACACACACACACAGATACCCATCACATAACATAGACACACAGACACATGCGCACAGACGCACACTACACACAGAGACACATGCACACACACAGTCACCACACACACATCATCCTCTGGGCAGTACCCTTTAGCTTAGGCTGGGCCATCATCCTCTGGACAATAACATTTAGCTCAGGCTGGGCCTCCAAGCAACCCCAGACCTCTCTGGGCCTCATGTTTCCAGTCTATAAAGGACCCTTCCAGCTGCCCAGAAGTTCCAGCTGTCGTCCACCCTGCTGTCGTCCACCCTGCCAGCTGGAGGGATGAAGGAGTGGGTGCCCCCTCTTGGGGTGCTGACGTGGGAGGGAGACAGGACCTCGGAAACCCCATGGCTCCAGGATCACCTGCCAGGGCAGAGGGTGGGATGGTGGACCCAGGAGAGTGCTGGCTCAGCGAGCAGTCCTGTGGAATTGGGGCTCCTGTGCTGGCCTTGCTCATACCTGGCAAGTGGCCAGGCTGATAAGGGCACTTCCCCATGAAAGAGCCCTGTCTGTCCACTGTTCTCATCCAGTTAAAGGAGCCTGGGGGACTCGCCCCACAGGAAGGGGACTGGGAAAACTACTGTCAAGGACATCCCTGACTCCCTGGAGGTGAGGGGTCCCCCAGCCTGGTATAGGCTGCCCTCTTCAGAGACCCCGGAGCTTGCCTTAGCGTCTCAGCTGTGCTCACCTTTATCCTCCTCCTCTCTCTCTCTTTGATGTAGGAGCCCACCACCCATCCTCCACTTCCATCTCCTGTTCTCTACCACCCTCCTTTCCCAAGAGCCCACTCCTCCCTCCCAGGTTAGCCTTACATAATGAGTAGCCAAGGTTGGCTCTGAGCCTGGGTCCCACGCCCCCAATTCCCATCCTGCAAGCTGTGTGTCTCAGGCCCACCTCTTTGCCCCACAAGCTTCAGTCTCCCGCTCTGTGCAATGGGTGCATATGCCTTCCCTCATGGACCAAATGAGGGAGAGAATGGCGCACAGCACGGAAGCCTGGTACCATAGGTGGCTGTGCATGCATGTTAGTTGTGTGTCAATACGCACATGTGCTGTGTACACACTCATATGGGTGCATTTTCATCCATGCATGTGTGCAGGTGTGCTGTGCATGTGTGTTAATGCATGGTGTTTTATATACACATATACTTATGTTTACATGCAAACATGTAGGTATATGTGTGCACACCTGTGCATATGTATAAGCATTTACATCTTGTGTGCACACGTTCATGTGTGTGCTTCTGTGTGTGAAGTGGGCAGGGAGTGGAAGGTTTCTGTCTGTCTCAGTGGCTGGTGACTCAGGAAATTCCCTGGCACAGAAGAAAGAAGGCCAGTGACACTGGTTAGTCATCTGTGGGTGGTGACATTGGGGCAGGGCCCCAGCACAGCCAGACGCACCAGCAGGCTCCTTAGAAGCTGAGGCAGGAAGATCTCAGGTTCAAGGCCAGCCTGAGCTATACAATGAGATCCTGGTTCATAAACAAAAATAAAGAGAGCTGAGATGACACAGGAGCAGTGAGTGTCGCTGCTGCTGGTTAAGTGCCGAGCACTGCAGAGACCTGGGCCTTTCAGGGACCAGCTTCCGAATCTGCATAGCCGGTGGGCTGTTTTGTTAGGCCCTGGCTTACAGGCCAGGGACCTGAGGCTTGAAGGAAGAAACCAGCCTAAGGGGTTTCTTACAACACATTGAGGGGGAACACACACACACACACACACACACACACCTAGTGCCTGCCTGAGCTGATGTGAATGATTCACCCTAAGTCCAGCTGTGCACCAGGGATGGCCTCAGAGTCCTGCCCCCTTCTCCCATGTGTCCCCAACTTCCTACCAGAGGAAACAAAGGTTCTGACAGGCTCTGGGCTTGACACAAAACTGGCCATGTGGTTTCAGGTGAGCAAAATGCCAAGATGTCTTTGTATCAGCTTCACACCCCGAAGTGAGCCCAGCACCCACCCTGCCCATTGCAGATGTGCGGAGTTCAAAGTGGATGGAGATGTCCACATATCCTGGCTAAGAGCCCCAGAGTCCAGCCTCAGTGGCCCCGACAGAGCCATCACTGTGCCCCACGGCCCTGCTGGCAGCTTGGAGACCCCACAATCCCTCTCTGCTTCTCTGTCTTCAAGGCCTGGAAACCTCAAAGCTGCAGACAGCCCTGGCACTGGGCAGCAAGCACACCAGCCACAGGTCCCATGGAGGCCTCCGTGCACCGCGTCTGTACACAGCTCACATCTGCAGCTGCCCAGGGTGGATGGGGGAAACCTTCATCTTGGACCCTGCCCCTAGCTGCCTCCAGCTCCCAGCTCACATCACATGGTGCTGTGTCTGTCTCCCCCCTGCGTCTCCTGAGAGCCAGAGCTGGGCTGGCCTGCCTCAAGCTGTCCCAGTTTCAAAGGACCAGGAACATAAACCACCTCATGGTGGCTTCCATTCTAGAATTAATGGCTATAGGGAGGGAGGGTACCCAGCTGTGATTCCAACACCCTGGAGATGGATGGCAAATTCAAGGCTAGCCTGGGCTTCAGAGTAAGACCCTGTCCTAAAAAATAAAAACGGGGAGGGGGGTTGGATGAGATCAAAATACATTGTTTATATGTATGACATTTTCAAGAAATAAAAATATTGTGGAAAAATAGGCTGGGTATGGTGGCACATGCCTTTAATCCCAATACTCAGTGGGAGGCAGAGGCAGGTGGATCTCTGTGAGTTCGAGACCAGCCTGATCTACATAGCAAGTTCCAGGCCAGCCAGGGTTATATAGTGAGACCCCGTCTCAAAAATGTTATTAAAAATAGAGCCAGGTATGGTGGCACATGCCTTTAATCTCAGCACAGTACTCAGGAGGCAGAGACAGGTGGATCTCTGTGAGTTCAAGGCCAGCCTGATCTACATAGCAAGTTCCAGGCCAGCAGGGGCTACAAGGAGACCCTGTCTCAAAAAGACAAAAAAAATGTTATTAAAAATAAATGACACTGGGCGTGGTGGCGCATGCCTTTAATCCCAGCGCTTGGGAGGCAGAGGCAGACAGATCTTTATGAGTTCAAGGCCAGCCTGGTCTACATAGTTCCAGGACAGCTGGGGCTACAGGGAGACCCTGTCTCAAAAAAGACCAAAAAGAAAAAAAAAAACAAAAAAAAACCTTAGCTAAGATACTATTGGCAACTGGTAACTGCTGGGTGAGGGCGACTTGGTTTTCTTTAAGGGTATGATGTTAACTAGGTTAGCCAGGCTCCAGTGGATGGACACACACCAAAGGACATTTGGGGACACCAACTTGACTCAATAGGCCTTAATACATTTGATAGGGTTCATGAAATCCAGTGGGGGCACTACAAGAGAGGTGCAGTGGGGGGGTCTAGTTTTCTTGGCTTTTGGGGGTCTTTTTGAGACAGGGTCTCCCTGTAGCCCCAGCTGGCTTGGAACTCCTTAAGAAGTCTAGGCTGGACTCAATCTCACAACCTCTGCCTCCTGCTGGGATTAGAGGTGTGTGCCACCACGGCCAGGAAGGGGGTCTAAATAGGATCAAAATAAATTGTATGAAATGCATAAAAATTCAATTTTAAAAATAAATAAAAAGACTCAATAGCAGCAACCCAGCCCCTCTGCTCCATCCCTCCTTCCTCCCAAAGCCAGAAATCAGAATTCATCTATGGGCCCCAGCTCTCCCTCACCTGTGGTGTTGACATGGTGTCTCAGTGGGGCCTTCTGTTCCTTCGCCCTCCCTCTGAACCGTGTGCTCCTCCGGCTCCCTCTCAGACCCAGTGACCTTCTCCCCGGTGTGTAAGGGTCTATAGTGCTAACCTGGGCCACGTGTCTGCCCTCAATGGAGCATGGCAGGACACTGGCAAAGCTCTCCCTTCAGAGGAAAAGAGTTACTATCAACCTTTTTTCAGAAAAACCTCTAGGCAGCTGGAGGGCTGGGGCTCTGAGGCAGGTCACATCTGTTTGCTGTGCGACAGCTACAATGGCAGACAAGAAGGGTTACATCTGCTTCAGAGTGTGGAAACAGGTCCCCAGAGGCAGGGAGTTGCCCAAAGGTACAATTTTGGGTCCAGGGCGAGCTGCCGGCAGCCAGGGCTGGTGAGATTTTGTTGCAGCTTTAAATCACAATTATTTACTTTGGGGGGGGCAGCGTTCAAGGATACCACATCACATGTGTGGAGGTCAGAGGACAGCTTGAGGGAGTCAGTCCTCTCCTTCCACCATGTGGCTTCTGGGACTTGAACTCAGGTCGGCAGACTTGGCAGCAAGCGCCTTTACCTGCAGAGTCGTCTCGCCAGGCTTTTGGGTACAGATCGATGGTGCTAACTTGTTAAACACTCGGCTTCTACCACCCCTTAGAGATCCTGTCTCAGCAGCCCCTGCAATTTAAGGTGCCCCAGTCTCGGAGCACAGAGGAAGTGGATCACTGTCCACCTCTGGGTTCTAAGTCAGCCTAACCAGGACCTTGTCATAAGCTGCGAAGCACCTTGTGTAAAAACCCCAGTGTGTTCACAGGGAGGGTCAGAGTACAGGGTACAGGAGAGAACAGCCCGGAGCCCACCCCCAGGACCCTCCCCGGAACCTGAGGGTGCTGCTGTGGACGTCAGGGTTCCGGAAAACCCCTTTGATACATGATTGCAGGACTGAGCTGCGAGGGCCGAAGGGGATGGATGGATGTTCCACATAAATCTTGTGTGTGGTTGAAGATTTCCCCACCGCTGGCTTCTCTGCAGCCACTGATTTGTAGCAGATAATCCACAGCAACCTTGATGTGGTTGGGTCCCAAGCTTCCAGGCCCTAGAATATTCTGGAAGAGGCTGCATATGAGGGGAACGGGAGCAAAGGGGACCTCCAGTTGCCCCAGGGTGCCTAGTGCAGTCAGTACATTGTACTAAGTGTGTTGGGTGCTTACTAAGTGCCAGGTACTGGCTAAGTGCCAGGTACTTACTGAGTACCAGGTGCTTACTAAGTGTTAGGTATTTATTAAGTGCCAGGTGCTTAGTAAGTGCTGAGTATTCACTGTGTGTCAGCTGCTTGCTGAGTCCAGGTGCTGAGTAAGTGGTGGGTACTTTGCTAAGTGCTGGGTGTTATGTTCACCTAAGACATGAGCATTATTGTTACAGTTTTATTGATAAGCTACTGTGGTTCATAGCAGTGGGCCCATGTCCCTAAGGGTACAGTGCTGGAAAGTGTCAGAGCTGGATCCAAACCCAGGACTCTGGTTCAAGCTCTTTGCTATAACCCATCGTCCATGTGTTCAGCTCCGGGCCTGTAGGCACACCTCCCCCAATCCTTCTCTGTAAAGGTGTCCTTGTCTGTCTTGGGGTCCTGCCCACGAGCTTGGTGGTTACCTCCAAGGCTTGCCTATGGCTCCACCAGCAGCTACACATTTAGCTGGCGTCCCCAACCCCCCAGGGTCTCCAAGCCCTCAGGGTCCCTGTTCTGGTTTGTTCTTCATTGCTGTGACAAAACACTCTGACCTTGGGGAGGAAAGGATTTATTCAGCTTATATCTCCCAGATTGCAGTTTATTAGAGAGCCCAAGGTAGGAACTCAGGGCAGGAACCTGGAGGCAGGAGCTGGAGCACAGGCCATGGAGGAACGCTGCTTACTGGTTTGCTCCCCTGGCCCCTGCTCAGCCTGCTTTCTTATGCAACACAAGCCCACCTGCCCAGGGTGGCACCACCCACAGTGGGCTGGGCCCTCCCACATCACTCATCAAGAAGATGCCCCTTAGACATGGCCACAGGCCAGTCCTATGGAGGAAATTCCCCAACTGAGGCTCCCTCAACCCAGGTGTGTCAAGCTGACACTAAAGCTATCCAGCACAGTCCCCAAGCCCCCAGGGTCTCCAAACCCTCAGGGTCCCCAGGCTATTGGCCCCTGTGTTTCTTGGTGGCTTTGGCAAGTCCCAATGCTGGTTCGCAGGACGGCTGGAGCGTCCACAGTCCAAGTCTTTCCAGATGTCCCGCAGAGTCACAGAATCTCCCAGCCCAGCTGCCAGCTGCCTGGTGACTGCGTCACCCCGGTCTCACTTGCGGGTAGGCCTAAATCATGTCTGGTGCTAATCTGGGAGCAGTGATTTTTGTTGTTCTTTTTTGAGACAGGGTCTCACTTGGTAACCCGGGCTGGCCTCAAAGTTGCACCCTCCCCTGCCTTAGCCTCCAGAGTACTGGGATTATGGGAGTGAGTCACTATGCCCATCTGGGTGTTATTCATTTAAAAACTTCTTTTTCATTGGTTTGGTTTGAGGCAGAGTCTCACTATGCCGCCCTGGTTGGCCGGGAACTCTCTATGTAGACTCAGCTGGCCTCCCACTTACAGAGATGCACCTGCCTCTGCCCCCTGAGTGCTGGGATTAAAGGTGAGCACCACCATGTACCTATTGACTTCCATACATTAAAGTGTGTGTGGCTGCATGGGTACTGCTTGTAGAGTTCTCCTAGCTGGAACTCCAGCCTGACCAGTTCACTTCCCTGGGCCCTGCAGCATCACCAGCCAGCTCTCAGCCCAAGCTCCCGACCAGCTTTTAACCCAACTTCTGAGACGCCATTCACAGTCCACACAGTTGCCGTGCAGCTAGCAGGTCAAGGTTAAGTTCGCAGAGCTGGGCAGCCAAGGCCATACTCCATTTCAGAACATTCATCACCCCGAAAAGGCCCTCCTACCTGACCCCCATCCACCCTTCTCCCAGCCTCCAGCACATCCCCCTGCTGTCTCTGGACTCGTCAGTTTTGGAGACTTACACAGAGCTGACCTCTAGGCACAGGGTCCTTCAGCTCTGGCCTCTCTTACTGGTCATGTTTTTTGCTTTGTTTTGTTTTTTGAGATGAAGTTTCATGTAGCCCAGGCTGGCCTTGAACATATCAGAGGATGAACTTCAACTCCTGGTCCTCCTGCCCACGCCTGCTGAGTATGGAGATAACAAGTGTGCTCCACACCTGCCTGCTTGCCATGTTGTGAAGTCCGGCCAGGTCTTAGTGTGTCTGTGTGTCTGTGTGTATGTGTACATGAGCATGTATGTACGTTGCTGGGGATGGAACCCAGAGCCTGTGCGTGCTGAGTGGTCTACCGCGGAGCCGCTTGGCAGTCCCTCCCCACTGTTGCACAAAACAGCACTTCATCAATACCGATTGATTGACTCTGAAATCAATTAAGAGACAGGCCCCTGGGTGGGTCTGTGAGGGTGATTCCAGGAAGGGTTAGCTGAGGAATAAGCAGCCCAGAGTGGGCAGTACCTTCTGACAGCAGTCCAGGTGTAAAGGGGGTCTTAAGAAGCCATGCTGGCTTGCCCCTTGCTGGTGAGCATCTACCTCATGGCTGCTGCTGCTTCCTCTCCTGACATCGAACCCCAGCTCCCCCATCCTTCAACATGGACGGAAGAGCGACTCTGCCTCGTGGGCAGAGCAGCTACCGGTTCTCGACCTTCTAGCATGCAGACCGCCATCTTGGGCTGCCCCGCTTTCCTGGCACAGACCATTCTAGTGATCCCTCCATGATAAACACATGTTCTGTCCCTGCTGTTCCTCCTGAGGTCCTTGCACTTTACTCCTTGGTGGGTTGGGGGAGTCTCCATCCAGGGCAAA